ACCTTAAAATAGATGGGAGCCATATCACCCACTTCCTTTGGGAGAGGAATGCATTCATAAACCATGTGATACTGTTTCTTGGTGCTCATATTAGTTTCTAAAAAGATGCAGTCCAATCCTTTATTTTCAAACATCTTTACCAATGATTTTCTGAACATCTAAAGAAAGAAAAAAAACTAAATAAATAAAACAGATTTAAAATCAAGCACTTTTAAGAGATTTGAGATATGAAAACAATAAAAAGTACAACATTCCTTTAAAATACAACAGATAGTAATGTCTGATCTCCACGGTGTTACCTTATAACTATACTTTCTAAGTGTTTTTTTAAACTAACATCCACTCTGTATGTATTAGAAATGGTTCCAGTAAACTAAAATGAGAAAAGGAGACAAAAATCAAATTTAGGTAATAAAATATGCAGAACTGACAGTAAAATCATCGGAAAACATCCATAAGCCAAAAGAGGTACTCTGAGTGGATGAGCATCCTAGAATTCAGAAACAGACAACAAGAGAATTCACTTTCAATTCTTTCCCTATGCTCATGGCATCTTCCTTTGTTGGTTTCCTTATATGTTTGCTGATCCCTCACTTATAACCTTGTATTCAGGCGGTCCTCTATTTTCACATATAATGCAGTCCTGTCAAGTGCATGAAAGCCAAAAACACTAAAGTTGAAAAGTGAGGAGAGTTTCCTTTTCCCAAGGAACTAAGTGTTGTTATACAATCCCTTCTATATGTACATATGTAGGTATGTATTTCACACTCCTAGACCTCAGCGACAGCTGTTTGTAGAGGGTGGTTGAACGGAGCTGAATGGTCCAGGATGTTTGCATGCATTCACATGGCACCCAGGGTAGAGAGAGAAAGGAGCAGGGTACAGGCTGGGAGCCAGAGAATTTCTGAGAATTCTAAATACAAAGTTGGCCTTGTAAGGTATTGTGCAAATATATTTGTCTAAGTAGAAAGAGAAACAAATTTTATTTAGATTTGTCAGCTTGATTTATAACTTTTTAATATTTTAATTAAACTTCTTTCATTTTGAGGTAATTTTAGATCACAGGCAGTTATAGGAAATCAGTTTCCCCCAATGGTAACATCTTATAAAACTATAGAACAACCAGGATATTGACAATGATACACTTAAGGTTCAGAGAAATTCCACCACCACCCACAAAGACCTTTCCTGTTACTCTTTGACTACTTTTTAGAGACAGGATCTCACTATGTTACCAAGACTGAAGTACAGCGCCTATTCATGGTTGCAATCAGAGCGCACTACAGCCTTGAACTCCTGGGCTCAAGCAGTCCTCCTGCCTCAGCCTCCTGAGTAGCTGGGACTACAGGTGCACACCATAATGCCTGGCTCTGGTTACCCTTTTATAGACACGATCACTTCACACCTCCCTGGTCCCATACTTCCTCCCCCACCTTAAACCCTAGCAATCACTAATGTGCTCTCCATTTCTTTAATTTTGTCATTTCAAGAATGTTATATAAATAGAACCATGTAATTCTGGGGGCTTGTTTTTTTTCAATCAGCATAATTCCCTGGAGATCCATGAAAGTTATTACATGTATCAATAGTTCATTCTTTTTTATTGTTGAGTAGTTTTCCTGACATGGATGTACCAAAATATGTTTAACCTTTCACCTTTACAGGATATCTGGGGTATTTCCAGTTTTGGGCTATTACAAATGAAGCTGCTATGAACATTTGCACAAAAGTTTTTGTGTGAACATAACTCTATTTCTCTAGAAATAAATGCCAAGGAGTGTAACAGTTGAGTCCTAAGGTAGTTGCACATTTCGCATTTTAAGAAACTGCCAATCTCTTTTCCAAAGTGGCTATACTGTTTTATTAATACATTTCCACCAGCAATGTAGGAGCAATTCTGTTTTTCCACATCCTCACCAGCATCTGGTGTTGTCAATATTTTTTATTTTCCATTTTGATAGGTATATAATGATTTATCATTGTGGTCTTAATTTGCATTTCCTAATAGTTATTGTTATTAAATCTTTTTTATACATTTATTTGCCATCTCTATATCTTCTTCGGTGAAATGTCTCTTCACATCTTTTATCCATTTTCTAATTGGACTGTTTGCTTTTTACTGTTAAGTTCTGATACTCTAGATTTTTATATAGTATTTATATATTCTGGATACAATTTCTTTGTCAGATACGTGGTTTGCAAATATTTTCTCCCAGTCTGTAATTTGTTTTTTCATCCTCATATCAGGGTCTTTTGAAAAACAAAAGTTTTTAATTTCACAAAGCTCGGTTTATCAATTTTTGTTTCTGAGGATTATACTTTTAGTGTCAAATCTAAGAGCTCTCTATGTACCCAAGACTGTAAAGATTTTACCTCATTTTTTTCTAAAAGTTTTATAGTCTTATACTTTACATTAAAGTCTGTGTTCCATTTTGAATTAATATTTGTATAAAGTTTGAAATTTAAGCTGATGCTCAGGTTTATTTTACCTATGATGTTCAATTGCTTCAGCATCATTCATTAAAAAGGCTACCCATTCTCTGTTGAATTGATTTCACATCTTTTGTCAAATTCAGTTGAGAATATTTGGTTGGGTCTATTTCTGGGTCCTCTATTGAATTGAATTCTGTTCCATTGATCTAGATGTTTATTCCTTCCATCAATACCAAAGAGTCAATACCAAAGAGTAGCTATATCATAAGTCTTACAATCAGGTAAGACTGGTTCCTGCCACTTTATTCTTCTTTTTCAAAATTGTTTTTTTTTTCATTCCTTTGCCTTCCCCACATAAAGTTTAGAAGAATCTTCTCCATACCTACAAAAAATCTTGCTGGGATTTTGATAAAAAAGGTGTTAAACCAGTATATTAATTTTATGAAACTGTCATCTTTACTATGTTGACTCTCCTAATCCATGAGCATGGGGTCTCCACATTTATTTTGATCTTTTAAAATTTCTTTCATCAGTGTTTTGTAGTTTTTGGTATACAAATTCTGGACATCTTCTGTTGGATTTCCACCTAAGTACAGTGCATTCTCATATTTGTGGATTCCATATTGTCAAATCTGCCTTATTACTAAAATTAATTTGTAACCACAAAATCAATTCTCATGGCATTTTTTAGATCATTCGCAGACAAGTACAGAGCAGTGAAAATTTACATTCCCAACTGAGGTTGAACGAAGCAATGGTCGACCTTGTTTCAGCTCTTACACTGTAAACAAGTGTCCTTCTCAAGGTCTATTTAGTGTCATATTTCCACATATTTGTGCTTTTTGTTGTTGATTTCCCTTTTTCCCCCAAGCATAGTACTGAAGAATAATTAGTTTTCCTAAGCACAAGAAGATACTGATGTGCCTCATGGAGAAGATACGTGTGTCAGATAAGCTACATACAGGCAGTTTTTAACCTTTGTTCTCAGAGTTTTTATCTTGATTCTGAGAGTTTTTAATCATAAATGGGTATGAATTTTGTCAAGTGCTTTCCCTTTATTGATTGATATGATCATGGTGGATTAACTGATTAATTTTCCAATACTGAACCAGTCTTACATAATCGGTATAAGCCCCACTTGGTTATAGTGTATAATTCTTTTTATGTATTGCCAAACTCCATTTGCTAATATTTTGTTAAGAATTTTTGTATCTATATTCATGAGGAACATTGAGCCGTATTTTCTTGTTTATTTTTAACTGTCTTGTGTTATCACGATAATATTAACTTTATAAAATGAATTGGGAAGTATTCCTTCCTCTTCTGTTTTCTAGAAGAGATTATATATGATTGGCATCAATTCTTTAAAAGTTGGTAAAATGTTCCAATGAAACCATCTGTGCTTGGAGACATTTTTGAGGGAAGTTTTAACACATTGACTGCCACACTAGAAAAAAAATTTTTTTTCCCCTGGGGCCACAGTGTTTTATTAAAACAAAATGATACTTTCTAATTTGTTATTGTTTTCTGTGCGTGAGTTATATGCAATGCAATCCACATTTTTAGAATTAAATTGACAATATTAATTGTAACAATAAGAACATCAACAAGTAAGATTTTCACAACCACCTGCAAGGTTTTGCTTCATGAGGCCCTGGGCTCAAAACTAGCCTGAGTTAAATACAACTCACATGGCAGTCAACGTGTTAAATTACGAATTCTATTTCCTTAATAGTTATAATGTTGTTCAAATTGCCTATTTCATATTGGGCAAGTTGTAACAGTCTGTGCATTTTAAGGAACTGGTCCACTATATCTAAGCTGTCAAACTTATTTGTACAGAGTTTTTCATATTTATTCCCTTATTATCCTTTGATGTCTACAAAGTCTATAGTGATATCCTGTTTCATTCTTAATACTGGTAACTTGTGTCTTCTCAGTTCTTTTCTTTATCAGTCTTACTGGAAGTTTGTTAGTTTTATTTATCTTTTTTAAAACCCCATCTTTTTGTTTCATTGATTTTGTTTTCAATTTCATTGATTTCCATTCTTTTGCTTGCTTTGAGTTGACTTTGCACTTCCTTTTCTAGGTTCTTGAGGCAAGATTTTTCCTTTTTTCTAATAAAAGTATTTAGTGCTATAAATTTTTCTCTCAACACTCCTTTAGCTGTGTCGCACAAATTTTAACATGTCATTTCATCTTAACTCAGTTGAGTATTTTTAAAAATTACCCTTGAAACTTCTCTTTGAAGTCTATTGAAATGTATTTAATTTGTAAGTATTTAGAAAATTTCCTATTATCTTTCTGTTATTGATTTTTAGCTTGATTCCACCATGGCCAGAAAATAAACTGTATGGCTTCAATTATTTTAAATTTATTGTGGTCCTTTTTATGGCAGGATATAGTCTACCTTGACATGTGTTCTGGAAAAAAATGTGTTTCTAATATTGTTGACTGGAGTGTTCTATGAATACTAATTAGATTCTGATTAACGGTTACAGTGGGCTGAATAATGGCCCCCAAAGATATCCAGGTCCTAATCGCTAGAACGCATCAATACTGCCATATATGGTACAAGGGACTTTTCAGATATAATTAAATTAACAATCTTGAGATAGGGAGATTATCCTGGATTACCTGAGTATATCCTAAATGTAAGTAAAAGCTTCCTTATAAGAGGCGGGCAGAGGGAGTTCTGACTAGAGAAGAGAAGAAGGCAATGTGC